GAAGGAGGCTCTGGCAAACCACTTCCGAAACAATTGCCTTGAAAACTACAAGGACCCGTCAGTCGGTAACGACTGAGCGCAGATAAAAAAAAAAGAAAGAAAGAAAGAGCTCAGGTGGGCTTTCTAGTTGGAAAGGCAATAAAGTTTTAAGATGGGCTGAGTCACAGCAACCAATAATGGCTGCGATGACTCACACTGTTGACATTTGTAATTTTTTTTTTAATGCATCTGCTTTGCCATTACCCTGATGGGGAGCTGGATAGAGAAAAATGTATTAGTCAACTCTTGGGCATTTGAGAGAGACAGATAAAAAAGCAAACACTCAATGCAAATGGGGGAAAGAAAGAAAAAAAATATAGTGGAGGTGAAAGACTAATTATACACATGAACCAGCAAGGTGGTGATAAATTAAAAGTGATCCTTGTCAAATTAGTGTCAAGGAAGAACCTGTTAATTCAGCATATGGGGAACACGATCTCTTGTGTAGCCAAAAATCAGTGAGGTGGGATTTGAATGATGAGTGATGCCAGTAAAGGGGAATCCCAGCTTGCTAAGATGAGAGAGGCTACAAAAAGGCTATGGACAAGTCAGGACAGATTTTGTACAAACAAGTTTAGGGAATTTCTGTTGCCAGGCAAGCCAGATGAATGTAATCCCTTGATGCTGTACACTAGTCTCTTTGCAGTAAGAGGCCACAAAGTAAAGGGATACACCCAAAGATTTTATCTACTTGAGATATGCCATTATCAAACAACTGCACATAACTAGAACGACTGAGAGTTTGCACATGGACATACATAGATACATCATCTCTCATCTGATTGTGATACCAAAAAGTAATTCTCAAGGGCACATGCACAGTAATGCTTTCTGATAACAGTAATTTACTCCAGCAGAAACTTTAGTGCTACAGGACTTCAGTGGAGGGAAACCGACTTGGCAGAGAATGAAACTTTGCTTTGTAGTGCTAAAGGTACTGTTACAATAAACCACTGCTATGAGAGCACAAGTAAGATTTGCAACTTGATGTTCACCAGATGTTTCAGACTACAACTTCCACAATCCAATGCTACTAGCCAGGCTGATTAGGACTGAAATCCAAAACGTCTGGAGGGCGCCGGATTACTATTCCAATATTAGATTCTTAGGCCTGTTATTTCAAAGATTGGCCCATGTGTTCAGTTCTAATCCTTGGCAGCTATAGCTCTTATAAATAGGGATAAGCTTGTGTACTTGTCAAATGTATGCTCCTTTTCTTATGCACATTTCCCAATTTATGGCTCTCTCTGCTCCCCCCCCATGACTGCATGTAAGAAATAAATGAAATTATTAAAGGTTCCTTTGAAGCTATAATGCATCTATGTAGAGGAGTTTGCCTGTAAATCTGTACAATTTACAGATGTAGCCTTGCTTCCCATTCATCAGCCTCTGTTGGAGATATCTCTGTTATCTTTTTGCAGAGGAAAGGTCTCGAATCTTTTATTATTAAAGATGCAGAAAATCTACCAAGTTACTCATATGGCTGTTGACCCTACATCTTCATGGTACATCATGTGGAATTCCAGAATCAACAAGTTACACAGAAATTAAGGAGCAGGTTTTAATGAATATCCTAATTTTTTTTTAATTTTAATTTTCAAACCCTCCTACACCTACATTTTTTAAATTTTATTTTTGTGTGTGTGTGCCTTCAAGTCAGTTTTTGATTCCTGGTGACTGCATGGACTAGTTCCTGCATTTTTTTTTTTGGCAAGGTTTTTCAGGAGTGGTTTGCCATTGCCTCCTTCCTAGGGCTGAGAGAGAGTGACTGGCTCAAGGTCACCCAGCTGGCTTCAGGCCTAAGGTGAGACTAGAACTCATGGTCTTCTGATTTCTAGTCTGGTGGCTTAACCACTACACCAAACTGGGTCTCTTATACCTACATATTTATATATTTTTTAAATACTCCTCAGAAAGTATAATTTTTTTCCCAGTACA